CCTCAGACGCCACTGACTGGGTACAGCACGGGTAATCTGTTCAGCCACCAACTGCTCTTGGGCCTCCACACTCAGCTCTGGCATAGCAGCTCTTGCCAGTGTTTGCAGTCTTCCTACAAAGGCCCGAGGCTCATCTGAGGCAGCCATCTTTAGCTCATAGAACCTATGTAGAAAGGCTCGTCGTTTCTCGGCCGGTACCAGTCGCTTCATCACATGGTCCTTCGCCTCCTCCATGCTGGTGAGGGTGACGTCCTCTTCCAACTCTCTGGCCAGCCACTCATGGGCCTCCCCGAAGAGTGCCGGCAAGATGGCTCTCTGTTGACTGTCGGACCACCCGTTGGCCCTGGCCACTCTTGTAAATCCCCTCATGAATGTCTCAGGGTCTTCTCCCTCCTTATAACCACGGGGCTTGAAGACCGAACCGGATGGCTCCATTTCACTGGTCTGGCTATTTACGTTAAGATCAGATTGCAAAGTTACTGGTTTATTTTCCAAATCCTCAATATTCACTACCTGAACTTCCTCTTTTATCTTGCTCTTGATTTCACTCATGCGCCAGGATTGCCTCGCTCCGTTGAGTCAAATCCCACTTCTGTTGTTAGGGTTCTGTCCCAGCCCCGTCTTGTCCCGTCTTTCCACTTCGTAGTTAGAAAACACAACGTTTCAATTATCTTGCATTTTCCATACGACTTCTGGCACAGATACAAAAATCGTTCGGCACACAGCCCCTTCCAAACACCACACACAGCGTCCAACCAAGAACTCCTCTCGGCCCGCCAGAAAACACCATTCCAGCCCCGACACGGGATTGGCCCAGAATCGACCACGCAACAAGTCTTGGCCAATCCCACCGCTACTACCATCCGATAGAAGAGATGGGCGCGGACAGTGGCGACGATTGAGTACCAAGTAGGCATAGGGATGGGAAAATAAACAATCTCTTCCTCCATCGACGTGAATGACGCAGCTCTAACGAATAACGGCGCAAATGGCTGCCAACCCGCTACCAAATCCAGTTTCCTCTATCGCTTACCCTCACAAAAGTCTCAGAACCCTTGGTATTACTATTTATTCCATGTCTAGGTACTAACAACAAAATGTAGTTTTTTTCTACGTTAATAAATTGGCACTTTGACTTAAGTCATGATCGCAACCTCAACTTGCAGTACTGCCATTACGATCTTGCAGTACTTTAACCCCAACAAAATTTTGCAATGATTTAACGCCTGTTTTGTCATTGCATTGCTATCGTGTCGACATTTCCGGCGAACCTCACACAGTTTTCATGTTTCTATTTTGATTTTGAATGTTTTATCGTTTGGGGCCTTTGATAGTTGATAATATTTGTAAGGACTAATGAATTTAATTCTAAAAACGAATATCTTTTAACAAGAATATTAGAAAAGGTATGTATCAGTATGGTTATCTTGTTCCATGTTGATGTTAGGTTCTTGTTCTGACTCTGGTGAAGGCACTGGTCCATGGATCCCCAGTTCACATCATTTTTAGCAGCTGTAGTAAAAGTGGCTTAGGTTAGCATGAAATTCATTGGTCTACTTACTTCTTATATTCTTAAATATGACCTGAATCTGGTTCCAAAATACAAACTGTGAAGCAAAGTGAAATGACCATGGCATGAGTTTTTTACTTTGCAACACAAGTATGCCCAGTTGGAAAGAAACTATTTTCTTTTGCTATACCTACAACTGTACACAATTTTCATAATGAATTTCGGGAACGGGTCCATCTGGTTCCAACGCTGACTTAGACCGGGTCTGACCGGTTCCAGAAATGTGCCAGTCAGACCGGGTCCGGGTCCGGGTCCCAAAATTTTCCAGTTTTGCCACCTCTACTCCTGATAGTAGCCGTGCTACATTATGTGTGTTCGCCTGTGCGTGTGTGTGTATACCTATGTATTTACCAAAAGAGATCAATACAACCAACCAGAATCAAATTCTCTCCGGTTAGTTGTTACGTGTTCTTCAAAACACGGGTATATGACGTCTAAGAACATGAATAACCACAATACATTGATAAGAACTTGGGACATAACACATGTGAAACCCTCTGTGACGAAATTTACGCCCACCTTATTAGGTACGTATGCCAACGTAATAAACTAAAACTACGCCTGTAAAGAACACATCTAATTCTAAAATCTCGCAAGCATACAATCCTTACGAATGCTTTGCGGCGCCAACACATATATGAATGAACGACTTCTATACCTTACTTTGAATTTCGTCATGTGGCGTCCTGAAAACGTCATCAGCAATTTTTCAGCTATAGCTTTTGATCAAACCACATAAGAGCAATGAAAGCATTTTCCATGCGATTATCTTGATAATCGGCCAAGGCGACTGGTAAACTACATGACCATTTCCAGTCAGGTCATAACCTTAACTAGCGTGATAATCGACCTGAGCCCATGAACTGCGGTAAAATATAATCTTAACCAATCAAAGCCAATTTGCATACTATTCGATGCGTCTCGGTGAGAGAATCACAACGATGGTAAAATGGACGACATGCAAGCATTGTATCAAAAGTTATTGCTCAAAAACTATTTGGGGTAAAAACGCACGCTCCGCGGATTTCGCCCCCTGTAGGCCAAAATGGTACCTCCATCCAGACGATTTTTACTTTTTGCAACGGCGAGATATTTTCTGAGCATGCTCAATGCATCTTAAACCCGCCAATGAGCGTATCCTGTGAATAAGGTTAAATGTTTTGTTGTCACATCTCATTTTCTCGTCAATTTACGAATAAATGGCGTCACAGTGACGTCATAGATTTTCTGCGATATGCGTTAACTAGAATTTTCATTTATGCAATGAATTTTGACTATAATATTAAATTTTGGAATACAACACAACTACACGACAAGTTTTATTTTAAAATATATAAACAGGGTACCATTCTTCAAAAAAGAAGAACTACGCAGTTGCACGTGCTCTGGAAGTGGTGCAACATTAGAACATTGTTAGAGGTGCGCACCGGTCAGATTCGGGTTCAGCGGTCATTTTTGTCCCAGAACCCTTTGCTAAGCTCTACCCAATTTTGCGTTATTTGGTCCAAAATTGGGCCTCCTTCCCCTGACTATATGCATGCAATATTTATTTCTGAGGCTATAGAATAAAACTTATGCGTATTTGCGGAGAAATTAAACAATGCAAAGCTGAAACATATTTATGCGTTACATATGTCACACATTTCGTTTATTTATAATTGACGATGTTTAGGGGATAAAGGAAAAGAAAAGTGCGTACCTTACCTACCAAGTTCGGATAGCTTCAACGAACAAAAGGAATTATTTAGGGAACAAAGGAAAAGTGTGTACCTTACCTACCAAGTTCGGATAGCTTCAACGAACAAAAGGTCCGTCTAGGCTAATTCATGACTTTTATGCGGGAATCATTAACCTACTGATCAGTTTTTAAATGTAAGCTCCCAACTTCTACCTAAAGGTAAGTCTGGGCTGGTGCGGTACCGGTCTCTGTGAGCTGGTTTCCATTTCCGACCAGCCGCCGGCGGCGTCAGCAGTGCCCGGGGCCGGCCGCGGCGGGCGGCGCCGTCCGCGCCCACCCAATCTCGTTCACAGCTCAACGGACCAGCGCGCGGCCACATTGAGATGTCGCCCTGACAGCGGCGGCCGGCTGGTGGCCGCTTTATTGGTCTGGCTCGGACAGCGTCGGGTCACCTCTGCAGCCGGCTCGCTGCGCCGCCCGGCTCTGTGACCTCCTCAGAGGTGTGTGGATAGTGACCTCACGTGCGTCGGCCGGCCGACGGCGGCGACTGATGAGGCTCGCTCGTCGTCTGTCGGTCGCCGATGACGTGGACGCCGTCGTCGACGGAGGTCGTCTTGGTCGCGATGCCGCGCCCCGCCGACCAGCAGACGCGCGCTTATAACGGTGTCGTATATGTCCGGCGCTGCTCGGGCGAGATTGGCTGATGGCCACTCAATTCGACGCGCCGCTGATCATTTTCGCCCGGCGATATGTCTCCTATCGGCCTGCTCGTTGTCGGATAAGCCGAAACGCTGCGAAACTTCCAAGCTATGGGAAAAGGTCGGCGGAAACGCCAGTCACTACACGTTGAAATCATGTTGTATGACCTTTCAGCCATAAAAAGACGGGATAATTACATTGCCAAAGTTTCGCGCGAATGTCTGAAGACATTTACCAGGCTGGATGGGCGAACAGCTGAGGTTAACTGGAAAGGTCGCCAGCAAGTTTTCGAATTGTTAGGTTTCATTACATTCCATGATTGTGTAACTGACATGCATTGTATTGTTTCCATTCTTCTCCCGACTCCTGTGTCACCTGTGTGACTAGATTGCCGCTGTTTGAACAAGATGGAAATATAATTTCGAGTTAGATATCGGCTGATTTTAGGAATTGGTTTCCGTTTAAACCTCTAATAGTGTGCTGTGGGTACTTTTTCGTTTTCCTCTATCAAATATTTTTAATAACAGTCCGGTAGAGCTGCAGCTAATGGCGAATCGTTTGAACCTCGAAGTTCTCTTTCCTTTTAGCTGTAGAGGCCTGCACTGCAACCCTTTCAGTTCAATGAAACAAGAACCTTCCGATTATGAATGTTGCATATTTCTCTCCATTCATATTTTTTACCTTTTTTGGACTCTGTTCGTTCCCTTGGCGGCCGCTGCGCTGTGGCGCGCCTCGTTCTGCGGTGGTATACTGTGCCGCCGGACAGCCGAGTCGGCGGCACAGCATACCCAGAGTGGCGGCGCGACGCGCTCAGTAGGTATGTGCCGCCCACGCATCGCAGTTGGATTTTCAAAGTCGTTCCTGCAAATTGAGCTGTAGTAGGTAGATAACTAAATTGGGTGCATGATGACAACATATTTTACACGGCATTGTATAATCCACTTGGTGAGTGGAATCCTACGCTCAATGCCTACCGCGCTCTGTAACATACACATTGTTCAGCAACGCCATACGTGCATGTTCGTCCAATGACCGGGGTTTTCCACGTTGCAGGTCGCGTGACACACGTGTCTGGTGTGGCCGGCCACGGAGTGGACCTGCCCTGTGACATCGACACCGCGGAGCCTCAGGACCAGGCGGTGCTCGTCCTCTGGTACAAGAATAGAAGCGGGAAACCCACCTACACGTAAGAACACTTACGTATACTCTACAATGACCTCAAAAGTAGTAATTTCGATTAAGTGCGTGGCTAACGATGCGTGTCTTGTAATTGCCTTTCTCATTCGGTGCTTTCCGTCCGTAAGTCGCCATGACTTGCAATATCCGTGCAATAATGCATCGTAACACGCATGGGTTGCCATGGAGATGATAGCAACAGTGAAATCAAAACAATCATTCGACAGTTAGCAGGCCTTAATGTGGAGTTGATGTCGCACCAGATGTCACCAGCCTTCCCGCTGTCATTATCTGCCATAAATGAGACAACAATATCTCACAGTCTGTTGTGGCCGCTCTTCCGTCTATATCAGTAGCGTCGCTACGGAAGCGGGCAGCTGCCCAGCACTGCCTGCCGTTGCGTGGTCACCATATTGGTGTGACCTCTGACCTGGCCGTCTGGGCCGTCAAACGGTTTCCTAACGTTGCCTGCTGCCTCTCCTGCCATCGCTGCCTGCTTACTGGCGTGACATCTGACTTGTCCGTGTCTGCCTTCAGACGGCTGCTCAGTGCTGCCTGCCGTCGCGCCATATTGGTGTGACCACTGACCTGTCTGCTGTCAGACGGCTGCCCACTGCCCAGCGCTGCCTGCCGTCGCTCCGCCGCCATATTGGTGTGACTTCTGACCTGTCCGTGTCTCCGTCAGCTTTGATGCCCGCGGTGGCCGGTCGTTCTCTGATCGGGACGGCCGCGGCGGGGCTCGCGCCACGTTCGTCACCCACGGCCGTTCTGCCGTTCTGCGTCTGGACCATCTGGAACCCGCTGATGAGGCCGTCTACAGGTGCCGTGTGGACTTCACCCTCAGCCCGACCCGCAATCAGCGCGTCAACCTGACCGTCATCAGTGAGTGCACACAGGCATCCATGCCCATTCTACCTACTAGTCGACAAAATGGTTGCTTCATTATCAAGTTCTCAAAGGGAAAAGGCTGTGACCTAGACAGCGTTTCAGCTATATAAACGTAACTATTTATTCGACCCTGTTTATTGGTAAGTCAAGTCATCAGCGTCAAGCAAAATCGTATACCAACAGGTACTGGTGAATAGGGGCCAGCGTTTGATAAATGTTCGCGCTGTTGGTGCATTCGACCTGCACCCACACAGCTCGCTGTTTGCCGGCTGATCAATGCCCGGTCCAAGCTCGATCAAATGGTATGACATCATTATTTCAATATTTCCATATTTATTTCAGTACTTTATCAATGGTGATGCTACTTTGGCGCTTACATGCAAACAAATGTAGCTAATGCTATTATCGATGACATTTCATTCCATTTTATATAGCTGCTCCATAAGCTGACTGTAGCATCCACGAGTTGTAGTTTTATCAAAGTCGGCTTATCCATTCGTAGACGCTTGACATAAGCACACTTATCCATGTCAGCGCGGTCATTCGTCTATGTCTGCGTGTTTTCACGTTTGCTCAGTCTGTATGCATTGGTAGCACTTCAGACCAGTCGATGTAATCCACTGTGCTATTGTCATCACTGCCACCAAAGCACACAACAGGCAGGACGATCGGACGGCATTAGCACCAGCAGTTATACGAATGTGGCGTTTAGTCACTCATGCAGTATCGCAGTTGTACACACAACACCTGACCTTGAATATCCACAGGGATACACGGATAAAGCATGTTGGCAGTGTTTATATATAAGAGACAGTTATAAGACTTTATTAGAAACATTGTTGCTGAACTATAGTCGACAGTGATGACAGGTGTGAACAGTTCGGAAACCGACTTTCCCGTTCCTGCCCCGGCTTAATAACCTGGATAGAACAGCGGTTGCCGACGTTTCTTTTCCAATGCCTCACTAGGCCTCAATGAATCCAACTAAAGCCGCACTCGTCTATTTCCCGGGTGAAATGAAGTGAGTTTTATAACAGGTGTAGTAGCTAAGTCTGGCACGTCTGGTATGAGGTGACGCTTTAGAGAGCAGAATTCAATCCTGAAGTCATGCATCGCGTCAGCGCTGAGAGTTACCAAAAAAAAGTATCGGAAACGGCATGTACCTCCTCAGCTTTGCCACGAAGCGTTTCCATACTGAAATGCAGCGCGTTACTTTGCGTGCGAGCTGACCGTTAGCCGACAAGGATTTACCGAGTTCCTGACCATCGTAAATATTAAGTGAGTGATTTACGAATGTGCAAACCGTGACGGAAGCTCTCGCATTGGGTATTTCCCGTTCCTGGCACAGAGTCGATGAGACGGCGGCATGCCATTCACACGAAGCTGTCGGTGGGGGGGGGGGGGACACATTCGAGCATTACGTGTACGAATTCGTGGGACTTGCACTTCCGTTTGTTTGATTTTTGTTTTTTGTTTGTTTTGTTTGACTCTGAATTTCATCTGAATTGTCATTTTTATTTTGTACATATTCGGCTAGTGTTAATAAAAAACGCTCCCCGCTGCTTGACATTTACAATGGCACATAATTTTTGTTTTTGGCATAAGTTAAAGTGGCGTTATCGTGACCTCAAACTTCAATGTTTCCTAGCTGAATGAAGTGAAAAATCACATTGCAAAATGCTTAACACCTTCAGCTGAACATCAAGGGCCGAAATGTCTAGCGGGCTGTAACTATGCAGTTATGTTTTGTTAAAAATTTTAAACGATCAAAACTATCAGCTGTCCATCACACGTCTTTATTTCTGTATAAACTGGCACAATGGAAGTGTGCATGCTGACCTATTTTCTCTCCGTCTCTGTCTCTTTGTGTGGCACCTACGGGTGTCTACTACCCGCCTGCCCGGGCTGACAGCCATTCACGTTTCTGTTTGTTTTCAGTTCCGCCAGAGCGGCCGGTTATCATCTTCAACAGCAGGCCGGTGTCTGGTCGGGTCGGGCCTCTGCAGGAGGGAGACCGGCTCGAGCTGACCTGTCTTGCCAGAGGAGGTGAGTTCCGCTCGAGCTCACCTGTCACGCCAGAGGAGGTGAGTTCCTCTCTCGAAACTGGCTTGAGATCACCTGTTTCGCCAGGGAAGGTGAATTACTCTCGAGGCACGTCTCGAGCTCACCTGGCTCGCCAGAGGAGGTGAGTCTGTCCCTCGAAACTGGCTTGAGTCACCTGTCTCGTCAGGGGAGGTGAGTGCCATTTGAGACCGGCTCGAGCTCACATGTCTCGTCAGAGGAGGCGAGTTCCTCTCGAGACATCGTCTCGAGCTCACCTGGCTGGCTCGCCAGAGGAGGTGAGTCTGTCCTGAGATACCGACTCGAGCTCACCTGTCTCGCCAGAGGAGGTGAGTCTGTCCCTCGAGTGAGCTCATCTGTCTCGCCAGAGGAGGCGAGTCTCCCTCGAGCAGGGCGGTCAGATTGAGTAGCTTTAGAAGGTTACTTATCTCGAGGAATTTCATAACCTATAGACGAAACGATTCTGCTAAACTACTAGCGGAGCAGATAAATTGCGGCTCTCTTGGTTCCACGAAACGGAGCTGTTTCAGCTTTTAGCAACGTGCTAACGCTGCGTCCAGTCACTTTACCTCTCACCATCGTAGCTTTCAACCATGCTGCGATTGTTCCACCAAGCACTTACCGTTTCGTTTTCTTCTGCTGCATAAACTGTCGGTAGTCTGGCTGCGCCACTCGACAAAGCTTTATAATGTTCTTTCATCGTTACCCTTTCGCGCCGGCTGAGAGCGCCCGCTCGCCATGACCCCATCTGGGGCCTGGTCCGTGGCTTTGAAGGTCACCCATCCAAGAAGGCGTCTGCCAGTATTACCGAAATGGAGTGCCGACATCAAATTACCGGGAACGGGTGCCCGGCGTCACTAAGTGCCGTCGGCTGCCATTTGAGCTCGAACCGGGCCGCTGGACGGTCGCGGTCCTTTCGGAGCTATTGGAACAGGCTGATTTGTCATGGGAATTTGAACTTCTGACACGATATGACGCATGGGGCTAAGTAAAGCCGACCTTAATGAGGGCTTTTGAAATTATGACTCACATGTCCTTTTTCTGTGTAATGTTTTTAATGGCAAGTTACTCTAAAGCATCTCACAAATTAACCGTTTCGCGAGAGGTTTTAAAAACTGCAGATATCTCAAATGACTGCTTTTCCAGTTTCGCATATAACAAGAATTGCTGCTTGATGGTTCATAAAACCTTTTAACCGGGTGCTTACAAAATGCATCCGACTAAGTGAGACAGACAGACAAAGGACCACAGGGTCCGAGGGAAAAAAACGCGACAACGGACATCCGACAGGACAACCAGTAAGCCACTATTTATGATGAAAAGCTGACTTGGGTTCTTGTCTAGGGTGTCAGCAGAACCCCTTACGTCACGTGACCCCACTCTGATCTGCAGGCCGGCCGCCGCCGCGTGTCACGTGGTTCCGAGACGGCCGCCTATTGGACGACACGGACAGCGGTGACCAGGGTTCGGGTCAGGTGACGAACGTGTTGCGACTGCCGCCTCTGGGACGGGATGACCTGCACTCGAGCCTGGTCTGCTCGGCGGCAAACAACAACATCAGCTCGCCCGCCACCAACGACGTCATTATTGACATCAACTGTGAGTGATGATATATACAATGGGAACGACGCGAGCGTAGGAGCGAAGATACTACTGAAGCGCCTCTCGTATTTTTAACCCAATCACACATAAAGTGATAAGCGTGCCGTGCGCAGTTACAGATCATTTTCAGGCGAAATTCTACGGTCTAACTCTACTAGCATCTTCTCTAAGAACGGAGGCCTCTGGAGAAGCCAGCACCGACTGCTGAGCTCGTGATCAAAGACTGCTGTTGTGCATGACCGATGATCCGGGCTATACATCGTTTCGAGAGGATAAGCGTGCCGTGTTTTGGTGCCCCGCCCGGCAGTAACTCCTGATTAGCTCGTGCCGCCATATACTTGTTTATCCTGTGATCCCTGGGTGGTGCTTCCACGCCCTCTCACTGCCAAGTGTGAGCCCTGCCGGCAGCCATATTTCCCAATTTTAAATGTGTGTTTTTCAAGGTTGGCTGAAATAACACAGCTGTTATAGGTGATTGTGTTTTTCATAGACCGTACTGCGCATATGTGTGTACTCCGGGTTATTTGATGCCAATTACATCTGTTTGACCCAATCAGCAGAAAGTGGCTTACTGAGTTTGTAATGTTTGACGACAATCAGCTCTACAGTTCGAAATGTATGCCGTATGCGTTGCTGCGTTTAGTACATATTGCTTTTCCAAACATATTGCTTAACCCGCGCCCCACTGGGGGGGGGCTATTTATAGCCCCCCCTCCCGTTTTTCTGCAATAACTTCCAAACCGCTTGACGGATCGACGCCAAACTTTCAGTACCTTCGGCTGCATCAATTTGACACCTTGTGTCAAAATTTGAACTTCGTAGCTACCATAGGTCGGCCGGAAATGACGTCAGAGTGACGTCATGTTCGTCCGATTTCGACGCAAAACATTGAACCACGGCAATCGCTCCCAAGAGCTCAGTTTTTAAGCTAGATCCAATTTCTTTGCATGAAAGGATTCAGAATTGACCGCGCTATCAAACTGCTATCTCGGATTTTCACAATTCTGAAAATTTCGAAAATTTTATATAATAATATTCAAAATTTATATTTTTATATTTTTTTCAAAAATTTTTTGACTTTTCGAAAAAACCGGAATATATGTGACAGAACGCATGATTATGAATAATTCTAGCAAGTTTTAGCTAAATATCTTCAAAAATGGCCAAGTTATACGCATTATTGCAAAAAATTCACAATTATTAATTTTTCAAATCACTTTTTCAGTACGTATTTGACATCGTACACCAATATAAATGGCACCATCGTGTTCCTGAGCTCAAATTGCATCCAATAGACACCTTTTTTGTTGAAAAATTTTAACTTCAAAATTTGACCTTTTTTGACCTGAAAGTGACCTGACCTAAGCTAAATTCGACTCAAAATGACCTCGAATGACACAGACGACATCAAATTCGAAATCTATGGCCTAAATGAACCATAAAACATGTGTCACGTGACCGACGCATGATATAATATTTTCGTGACCTGTGATGACCTGACCCTGACCTGAAAATCAAAGTACAAGTTTGGTACCCTCAAGGTATCTAGAGCATCTGTTCACGAGTGTGGAAACCAAAAATGAGCCTGATCTGACTTGTAAGACGGCGGCCAGAGCCCAAAATGTGAACAAGCCAAAGTGCTAATAATTTTTACTTTGACCTGACCTGTGACGTCATCGATGACCTCGAGGTCAATGAAATTAGGTCTCGCTCGACAGTTTTTCCGGGGCTATCAGACGCCGTTTGAATTTTGACGATCGGCCTAGTAGTTTCGGAGTTAGGAGGGGGGGCTATGAATAGCCCCCCCCCCCCCCCCAGTAGGGCGTGTTATACACAGACCCCAGTGGGGCGCGGGTTAATTTTGGGAGAATTGCAAGCTCCTAAACTATTGTTTTATTGCAGGCCCGCAACAACACTTCAGACTTCACTCACTTGTGAATAGCTGCCCACATTTAGCTACGAGTGTATGCTCGATTAGTTACGCCATTTGCGGGTGACACATGTATGTTCGCCACGCCTTCGTCTACATCCGGGTGCGCTCCGTTCCAGTCCGCCCGATGTCTGTGGCCATCCTGGGCTCCGCCAAGTCGTCACTGCAGGCGGGCAGCTCCTATAGCCTGGTGTGCCGGGCCTACGGCTCCCGGCCGCCAGCCATGCTGTCCTGGTGGCTGGGAGAAGTGCTGCTCGACGGAGCGCTGACGGTAAGTGAACGCTGCCAGCTGGCGCACTGAAATCCATTACGAAAAGAGCATGGTCCCCAAACTAAGTGACCGATCTCCCACGCATGTGACCATAAGCCGGACCATAAGAGGTCTTTGCACACAACATTCGTTGTGGTGTGAATGCCTATATGATAAAATCATATCCGCAACATTGTGTTCAGTTAATCACCAATCGTTTCACAGGTGTATGTATTTGCTGAGCCACTGTTGATGTCTGACCCCTGCCTTGATGTGCGGCTTCCTCAGGAGACTGAGCAGGGCAACATCAGCAGCAGCACGCTCATGTTCACGCCGCGTGCCTCGGACAACGAGCGCAACCTCAGCTGCCGCGCAGAGAACCGACACGTCACCGGGGGCACCATGAAGGACACGAGAAAGCTCAACGTCAGATGTGAGTATCACAGGACATCGAACGCTAGATGATCACACAACATCGAACGCCAGATTTCAGTATCGGCAGAAAACTTAACGTCAGATGCATTGAGTATCTGGAGAACACTCTATGTCAGATGTATCACAGAACACTGAACGTCATATGTGAGCATCAATTGGACATTGAGCGTCAGATCTTGACATATGGAATGAGCCCCGAGTCTTTGATGTCCATTTTAGGTGAAAATGAATATGACATGTGCATGTCGGCGGTAGGACATCATAATTCACACACTGGGCGTTCCATAGAAGTATCGACAATGTGACGTCAATCAACTTGAGCTCTAAATCGCTACAGCAAGTTGAATGATTATAAGTGTACATAGCTGCCGGTTGGCCGTGATACAGTCAACACATGGTCTTTCCTGCAGTATGTATGTCGATGGGTGTCGCAGTCGAATCACTCGCCTCTGTTATTGCAGTGGGTGGGCGGACCCAGCGCGGGCCCTTTAGTTACGGGACGGGAACGGATAGATGGGGTCTCTGCGGGCCGGCGGCGTGGCCCACTGGTCCGTGGGGAGGGCGGAGACAGATCGGCGGACCGGGCCCGTATCCGGTGATCCATTCGCAGCTCGCACCCGCCGGTCCTCTCCGCGTCATTAACTCAGTCCCCCCCTCCCCCCGCGCCTGATAGCTCCCTGCCTGTCACTCCTCCGAGATCTGGAAGCCCTGAGAGTTGTGGATTGGTCCAGTCCAGGAGAGCATGAGCATAGGTTTCTGAAACAGTCCATGCCATAGCGGCATCCCTCCGATGCAATGTTTTCCGTCTGGCAGTTATTACTGCGACCTTGAAGGCAAACCGCAGTGGGACGTGCATTGCCCGATTGAGTCAAATAGAGCGGTCGTACGACCGCCTAAGGGCCGCTAATCGGACTCATAGTTCAGTGATGTGTCTGCCAATTACCTTCACTTTACTTCCCTTCCAAAGTAGTCCATTTGAGTTTAGGGTCGAATTATAAGGCAGTCAAATCAGCCTACTTTGGTCACAAAGAATCCTCTGAACGTTTATCACGAATGCTAGGGGAAGAACCAATAACTCATTTTATGACGTGTTCTCGCTGACAAAAAAGAAAATCAATGGGAATGTCTGTGACACACGTTCAACACAAGATTATGTATAATGTTGGGACAAAAAGACACAAGATTGAAGGAGGAATCCATATCCCTTGTGGGGGTGGCATGCTGACAGACGATGAAACTATACTTGACAAATGATGTTGGCGTAGTGTCATTTTTATATTCTTCTTGTTAAATGAAAATATTCGGTTTCTTTTTTCCTTTCGGACTACGCTAAGTTCAAAAAGTTATTAAAACCAAATATTTCGGCTGAATTGATTTGCCACAAATATTTCGGTTGAATTGATTTGCCAATTGTTCGTACCGGTGAAGATCAGTTACTCTTCTGCCCCCTCCCCCTCCCGCAGTTCGGCCAAAGGTGTCCGCCCGTCTGGGAAGCATCCTCGACCCCGAGGACATCAAGGAGGGCACCAACGTCTACTTCGAGTGCTCCATCACTGCCAACCCCGCCGCCTACAGCGTCAGCTGGCTGCACAACGTGAGTACTCAACGTGTGGATGAGGATGGCTCCTTAGCGTGTGCCCGACTTCAGGCTATGCTGAAAACTCGCCGTCATATGAGACATAGACACCGCGCGGTTTTGTAGGGCTCCTAGTGCCTGGGATGGATCTAATACCACGCAGTCCTGTTAAGATCACTGTTTTGTACGCAACTGGCTAGTGCAGACCTATCATCCCGCTGTACGACTCATACGTCTGGTGCAGATATAAAGCCTCCACCGTCTGATGCGGCCCTATTATCCCGCCGTCTGGGGCGGCTCTAACGCCCCGCCGTCTGGTGCGGCCCTAACATCCCGCTTCACTGTCGGCTGCGACCCCGGGCGGTCTGTCACGCCACCTTTACGCCGCGCGCTGCTGATGTGCCGACCGACGCTAGATTAGATGGCCTTTTTATTAGTGTCCATCCGGCTCGCGTGCGAAGCGCAAAGGGAATCCGCGAGCGAGCTCCGAAAAGAAAGACGACAAAAATATACTCAGAAATTGGAAGACAGTGTTACGAAGATAATTGCGAACAAGTGAAACAAGCTCAGCTGTTATAACTACAAGGAGTCTACTTCAGTTTGTGTTTGATTTACTTCGGCTTTGTACAATATATAACTTCCTAAGAAATTGCGAGGCACTCAGATAACCAGCAACAGACAACAGCAGTTAGCCAATAGCGCTGGAGATCAGACAGTGCATTTTGCTCACAAAGTAAGCACAACCGTGCAATGCTCGCCCAAATGCATTTTACACGTAGATAACGTCGGTCTTGTTATTTTATCTCAATGTTTGTTGCGGACCGGTATGGCTACACGTTTTCTGGCCAAGTGCAAATACTGGTTTCCATTCCACGATGTTCGTCACACTAAGCGATGTTTCTTCTGGACTGTAAAATTATGGATGAGAAATCATCATCTCTAAAAATGTAGTAAACCTAAGCAAGCCTCTGAAGTCTGAATCAAACCAACTCTGTGGTAAGATATGTATTCATTGCGAACCGTGTCTCTACATACATCAAATAAGTCATTCAGCAATAGATGAGACAAACGCTGTGTTTCAGGATCAAGCCGTGGTGCCCAGTCCTCGCGCTGGTGTCGGCGACATCATCAGTATCAACGGCGACACCCTGGTGATCCGGAACCTGACTCGTCGCTCAGCAGGGAGATACGTCTGCCGCGCGGTCAACCCTGAGGGAGAGGGCGTCAGCCGGCCGGTCAGCCTTACCGTGAGATGTGAGTATCGAGAGAGGGAGAGAGAGAGAGAGAGAGAGAGAGAGAGAGAGAGAGAGAGAGAGAGAGAGAGAGAGAGAGAGAGAGAGAGAGAGAGAGAGAGAGAGAGAGAGGAGAGAGGAGTGAGGAGAGAGAGGAAGAGAGAGCTAGAGGGAGAGGGAGGACTTAGCCTCAGTCATCCTCACCGTGAAATGTGAGTATCGGCAGAGGGAGAGAGAGGAAGAGAAAGAGGGAAGAGAGAGCAAGAGAGGAGAGCGGGAGAGTGAGAGAGCGAACACCTCGTCGAACCAATCCAAGGCGAGTGTGCCTGACCAAGGCCGGGGTGGCGCCTGCCTCCTCTCCCTACGCCCCTCCCCCCGCTGTCCCCGGGGAGAGTCACAGGGCGACAACACATCGCTCGCCGGTCCCACGGAGACATTTGTCTGCTCCCCGGGGTCGCATCTGGCGGCAGCACATTTACGACCTCGTCCCGGCCGCCCCCGCCCCCGCCCGCGGCCGGCGGTTGGCTCGGGGCGCCATCGTCTGAAGAAAAGCGGGACGACTGATGTGAGCCACAGGTATTTTGGAAACCGATACCAAACGAGAAGGAGGTACGATACAAAATATCAAAACTGAAAGGACTCAAGATATTAAAAGAAATGCCAGGTTTGTACCAAATTCCGATCGCGTAAATACGTTTCTGAGACTTCCTAAAGCCTATAACAAAATGAAAAAACGTCAGAAATGACATCAAATACCGAGCTGGAATCGATTTGGTATCTGTATGCCAGAAAGCTGGTATCCAACTGAACATATTCTCTAGACGGGACACCGGCGTGTCGCCCTACCCTGTGACCTGGGCGATCCGTGGTGTCAGTCCGAGTGTCGGCGTGTCACCTGACACCGGCACCGACACCGACCGCCCCACCCCGTGTCGGTCGGCTGATGACGAGCGCATCGATCTCGACGGGGACCGACGAATGCTTCATCGGTACCGGCGGGGACTGACGAATGTTTCATCGGCGGCTACGGGGAGACGAAAGTTGTATCGGTGCCGATGCCCACAACGAAGAGTGCACTGCATGGGATGAGTTATAAACAGGGTGACCCTGTCATGCAGTTGCAGCCACAGGAAGCACTGACAGTCAGACAACGCGTCAGGAGGATAATAGCAATGTGTTAGTGGCACTGAATAGCACAACAATTTACAACTGAAAGAGTGAACAATACACAATTAGACACCGTCACTGAACTGCTACCCTCCTGTTGACACTGGGAAGCGAGAGTAAGGGGGGGGAGTAAGCGAGAGTAAGGGGGGAGTAAGCGAGAGTAAGGGGGGGGGAGTAAGCGAGAGTAAGGGGTCTAACGTCAGTCGTCAAGCTTATAAATTCCTCTCAATTTCTCAGGCAGTCGTAGATAGATCGTGTCATCGATATTTCTTTCAGAAGATGAAAAGTTGTTTTGATTAGTCAATTGATGAACTACTTAATGCCGGTGGTGATGTGATGCGCCTTGGACTTGGCAGGAAGGTTCAGATGAATTAACGCGTATTGATTGCAAGATTTATGCTTGGGATTCCAGTTCTAAGATGCTGTTCAGAGACATTTTTATCGATTGACACGGAAATAACAGTGGTTTTGTGAAGATGCCTATTTATTTAAAATACTCGTTTTATTAATTTGATTCATTGAGCAATGCGAACGTAACCATGCGCTTTTTATAAACCTGTAAACAGTTCTGGTAGTTATTGGTGCTGAGTTATTACATGTTCAATAATCGTAGTACTTATCCCTGTTACCAGATGTTTCATTTCAGAATTTGATTGAGGGGATCTGATTATCCTCTTTAACTTCCACCTATTTATTCGTTTTGTCACTTCATATGCAGCTCCAGTAAATTACGAATGCCTACAGCGCAACTCCGCTTGCTGGAATTGCATTGGAAACTGCGCACCAAAATCGTAGCTTCACATCCAACATCTCGTATTACCTCTGCCAACACGCGAAGGTAGTGCGCTCACTTCCTTGATGATACCTGACCCGCGCAGTGACGCTGGCACTCCTCTGGGTACGTTAGAGCGGTGTCATGCCGGGGACTCTCCCCATCAACCGCACGGGACAGTCTGTCCGCGGACGCACTCTGTCTGCGGACACATGGCAGTGACTGCGGCGGCGGAAGGAGTGCCATTTGGCACCAGGGCAGAGGCGTGGGGAGGGCCGGCAGAGGATGGCCGACCTGGTTTGATGGGGACCGTTCATCTCCGACGGCTTCCGGCCGCGACATGGCGTGACTGGAACGGCGCCGAAAAAAAGTCGCACCGCGCGCCCGCCGCCGGGCTGCGTGCCGATTGGCCCGGCGCTCGGACCCGGAAGGTGGTGAGGCTGACAGTGACTGGAGAGGTTGGCACAGTGTGGAGCTCTTTCGGAAGCGAGGGGAAGGTGAAAATTATACCTTCCGATCATGAATGTGAATGGTGTAGTAAAATGCAGGTGACAGTGATGTCCATGTAATTAAAATCCGCTGCAGTTTCTAAACATGGTAGGCATACTTGTACGTTATGTCTTCGTTTGTTTGTCAATTAATTTAAAATAAAATCAATGTTCTTCACTTCCGTGCAAGCTAGAGTCCTGCAGTCCTTGTGATCCGCACTGCAGCCCCGGCCGTTCGCCGGAGCCCTGTTGCGGGTCGGGGCGGGCGAGCAGAGCTCGACTGATTGGCCGCAGGCGATGAAAGGACTTCCGATCCACTGGTTTCCGCTTTGATTGAACAAACTTGGCTGAATGAACCGAACAATCAGCGAAAGATGTGAAGAAACGCCGGCCGTCTGAAATGTGGTGTAGCAAATGATCCCGGCTGATGTGAGGCGAGAAATTTAGGACTGAAAGGCGCCGCTGCCGCTGCACTGGTGCGTGCCATATTCAAACTAACTACACGGTGCTTTAAAGTTAGCTTGTTTGTGAGTTCAGAACACTGGCAGGCACCTTGGCCACATTCAATGTTATGTACACCTTATACGGTTGAGGTGGTGCGATACTTTGAGAGCAGTTACAATATGTGATGTGTTGTAACTTCGGAAGATGTAAGATGTTTGTCATCATAAAGCCATTGTCAAAATGTGACGGTCAGTAAATTTACTATTTTGCATAGTTCTGCTTTCAATACACTGTAACCAACAAGTCTCGTGCCCTTGTGGGGCTTACAGCAAGCTTCGTTGTGTCGGAGGAAGGTCAATATGACCGCCGTCCACAGGCTTTGTACGTGAAATACCTTCTTGGCTCAATTTTATCGAGTGTCGTCTCTCTAATGGCTGCGTGTGTCCGCCTAATTAATAATTGGACGTGCGTGGCTTTCCTAGCAAGTCAACAGTCAAAATACTAAGGTAAAAACGCTCATCATAATGGGCTACAAAACAGACAGAATGCAACACTAACGCAACTTATTAACTGCAGCCGAAGATGACGCAATCATCTCTCAACAAACGACATTGGATGATATATTGTAACGGGGTCAGACTTATTTTGACGATAATATCGTTCATCAGCCGGGGATCGTTCTCCGAAAAACGTGTGGCTGCGGTCTTTCCCACCCGAACGGCGATCATTAGGTATCATCGATCGCAGTCTATCGTGCTGGGTGTCACTGTTTTTGGCGCCCGGATCGGGGCCAGATTGAAGGAGAGAGATGCCTACTCGGTGGAAGCGTGAAGAGGCACGAGTGAGGCATGGCTAGATGGCGGAGGAATGTCTGAGTGGATAGAGGGAAATATCGGCTGGATAGACGCTCAAGGCACGGTGAAGGTACAAGGTGAAGGTCAAGGTACATAGCCCGGTGTTAATGCCGCTTTGTTCCGTTTCAGATGCTCCTGTGTGTATATCGGGCCAGAAGATCCAGTACGGTACGTCTCGAAACGAGCCGGCCCAGGTGACGTGTCAGGTGGACGCTAACCCTGCGGACGTCACCTTCCGCTGGCAGTTCAACACCAGCATCGAGACACTGGACCTGCCGTTCTCGCAGGTCAGTCCCGAAGCTCCCTGCCTTTCTCGCAGGTCAGCCCACCATACGGCATGGTAATCTCATTACCGCTTATAGGGTAATGACATTGAGCAATAGTTGACAAGTGCTGAATTGATTTTCTTCCGTTTTTTTCGATTGTCGGCTTATCTGGTTATTAGTACCATGTAATTGTACCATGTATTTGCTCCTAAAAAAAATTAATACGGAAGGCATCTGAGGATCAAAACTTGCAATCATTTGTTGGCGTTCGCTGGCACAGGTGGGCGGGCTAATGCAACCGGCCTCCCTCCAAAGTGACTTTATGAAAGCAGTATTCATGATGCATTGGAAAGCCCTTCTCTTCTTCCTCAATAACCATTATTGGTAGCGATCGTGTGTCAAGGTGTCTGGAAACTTGCTTTAGTTTTCCGGGTACCGCAGAGCTCTCGGCAAAGTTTGCTGGCACGCGATACACAGTTTAGCCACGACCGGTCCAGAACCTGTCAAATAAGCATGGTTAATCACCCTGCTCGCATTCATTAAGACGATTTAAGGAATAGAGGGGGCATGAACATTGAACAGACTGCATTGCACAAAGTCAGGTGGTGTGGTGTGCTGAGCCCATGGAGCAGGAGCTTGTCTTCTAGCTGTAGGTTCGAACTATACGATAAAAATACAAGTATTGCATCGATGGGAAATAGCAATAGGCTCTCTTTCGACAATCAATTCCGCTGAGCTGAATGACACCTTTCTTGCCTTGTTGAAGTTTCAGTCTTATCGATCGATATCCTAGTTTGTTTCTTATAGGCTTGTGTTATTTCGTCATAGCCAGCGAGCTGCAAACTTAGGAACGCGTTTTCGTTATAATCGTTATAATCAAATATCCGGCGCATTCATACCTAATTGTTATATGCGACCGACTGCAGTTATTTAATTACGGTTGTGGTGAACAAACTACGTGGTGCGGGTTCTTTGTACTTATATTATAAAGGCATTATATCTTTGTCTTAACTAGTAGTTAAAATAAATAACTAATGAATCAAACAATGCGATTATCGCAGCATAATAATTTTGTGTGTGTGTGTGCTACAGAGATCAGCAATTTCAGAATATGGACTAACCGTGTGGTTGTTCAATTTGTCTCTCGATTACTTCTACGTCCCCAAATTATTCCACCAATTTTCCTTCGAGTCGTAATTTGAGGGAAAAGAGAACTGAGCAGTTCTGGCTGCTAAGCGAACCGTGCCTTATCTTGGGCGATTTTTTCCTGGAGGAAGCGGGCGTGCTGAGACGGAGCACCGAAATGGGCCACGTCCTGACTGTAGCGTGGTTAGATGAGTCATAGAGTCGACTCAGCCGACTGAGTCACCAGGAGTCAGGCCCGAGGAGTCGGCGAGAAGCTTCCCGGGCGCGTGTGGTACGGCGGCGGCAGTCGGCGGCTTTCGGTCCTCCCAAACTCCGCCGGCCGGACAGGACAGGGCGGCGGTCTCGCACTGTCCAGTATAATGAGATGGTGGTCGGACCAGCCGCAGCGGTTAGCGCAGCCCACTGCCGCGATCGGCGCTGGAATTATGGTGCCGCGCCCAGCTCTCAGCGCTATAATGGGTGGGGGATCGTATGGATTATTGGCGAGATGGGCCAGCCGACGGCGGTGATGGTACCTACCGGCTTTGGGAATCGGCCCGGTGCATGTGCAGATTGTTCGGCTTATGGTCCGCGGAGAGATTTATTCAAGAGGCTGCTCCGGTTTGAGGCTGAGGGATCACTATTCAGAGCTGCTCTGATGGCTGTCGTCAGCCCATGGTAGATGGGGTCGGGTGTGCCTAGCCTGGTGAGAAGTAGCTTCAATTCTCAATATTATCCTGATCGGTTCGTTCAAGGATGAAAGTTTTATTTTCAATGTTTTATTGCAGTTATAGTAGCAATATTTCTTATGCTTGTTTCGTCTCGAAATAGGATCTCTCATAGAAGGTCTTGACAAATCAGTAAGTAGACAAATAAACACGTAAACAAGCAGGTGGTTTCCTATGATTGGTGGCTATTCCGACGCTGACTGTGTATCATTCAGCTACGAAATTAATTCGCATATTAATGCTGAGTGTTTAACTTTGCAACCAGCCAATCATGTGAAAGCAGGCGTGGCCAATGGCCGAAGTTGCTCTGGGCGAACTGTCGAGACTTGAAGGCCAAGTTCCTGCCCAACTTAAATTACCTTTGTGCCGCTATCATGATATGTTCATAAACTTGCTGCAGCAAGTTCGTGAACCTCTGTTTACCGAGATCTATTTCTACGCAGAGGTCTACGACAGGCCAAAAGACGATACCTGACAAATATGCCCGTGGTATAGGTATATACCAGACCAGGGGCGGATCCAGAAAATCTCCAAGGGAGGGGCCATTAGAAACCAGGAGGCCTCCCCCCCATAATCCCACCTGTTGGAGGCCCCATCTTCCCACTTGTTGGGCCCCCCCCAAAAAAAACTGCGTCTATTGAGCTTATCTAGCTGTTCAGGCAACATCTCAACATCTGTGCAGGCTTGGAGGCCCTCTGTGCAGGTTAGGAGGCCCTGTAAAAGTGGTCATCTCTGTGAGTATAAGAGACCTCCAAGTTATGAAGAGCTTTACCAATCTTCTAACAAAGAAGTCTTCTCAGCTAGTCTTCTAAGAAATAACTAAGTGGGTAGGTTAAAAAAAAAACTCATCGGATTTCGGCCACTTTATTTTCAGGAGGCCCCCTTTTCAGCTTTTTAACTTTTTAATTTTTTATTTCATTTTTGAAAAAAATCGGCCAAGGGGGGGCCATGGCCCCCATGGCCCCCCCTTGTATCCGCGCCTGTACCAGACTGTTCTACTTAACCTATTATTGGAAATTTCAATAGTCTCCAGCGCGATGGTGCTTAGTTTCTCACGCATCAATCATGCCGTAACTGATAAAGAATAACTCAGAAACTCATGGGCATGCCTAGCTGGTATGTACAGTCTGTCTTAACCCTCGCCCATGTAGGGGGGGGTTGGTGCAACCCCCCCCCCCTGAGGCTTTTCGGAAATAGTGCAAAAACGGCGGCGCGCAGCGCCGCCAAATTTTGGGTACCTTATGGGGCAAACCTTGCGCATCTTTTGATAAAAAAAAATTTGACCGGGTCATGTCAGGTCACGGAGTTATGACGTCACAAAGGGAACAGCCTCCGGCCGGATTTTCACAAACTGAGTGCCAACGCCCGAGGTTTCCTGCCGGTGGTACGGACATCGGTTGATGGATCGTGATGAAACTTCCCATGCATGTTGGGGCAAGTATTGGCTATCATATGGTATAAGAAACTTGACCGGGTCAGGTCAGGTCACGGAGCTATGACGTCACAAGAGGAACAGCGTCCGGTACTATTTTTGAAAAGCGCCCGAACCACTATTTTGCTAATTCTTGTCACCTCAATGGGAATATGCAGCAATATTAGCTTCTATAGGGAGCAAATGGACCTCCAAAATCCAAAAATACAATCAGATTTCAAAAATTTAAATTTTGATTTTTCGAATTACTGCCGCCGACTGTGACCTTGCCGACTTCCGGCGCTCCCAACGCGCCATTTTTAGAGCTAGGGAAACGAAATACATACCAAACGATAGACAATTGATCCAGGAACACGATAGTGAAGGTTTCAAGTCGATATCTCCCACCGTTTTGCCGCAATCGCCGCGGAAAGTTGAAAAAAGTATATTTTTCCGAAAATTTGACCTTTGACCGGTCAAAAGTAGGTCAAATGTTGACCTAGGACCAAAAAATATACCACCAATCGCGAGATCTCGGCGAGAGCAATCCGTTGGTCTTTTCCGCTAAGCTCTACGACGCTCCGTTTTCAAACGCCAGGGGGGGTCGCACCAACCCCCCCCCCCCCTGCATGGGCGAAGGTGGCAGATCGCCGTTTACGGGCAAGGGTTAAACGTACCGCGCAAAGTAACGGTGGATCCATCAAGCCTGGCCGAGGAAGGGCCTGCTAAATTTGAGTCACCGAAGCATTTGACATACCCGCCCATTTTCCAGGTCCATTGGTTCGGTGACTTTCAAATTAAAGCAGGCTCGTCCTCGGTCAGGCTTGATGGATCCACCGTCACTTTGCGCGGTACTTTTAAGACATAATGTGCGGTTTCAGTCGTGGTTATGGTTTGCTTTTGTATCTAAGGAACGATCTGCCAGACTTCAATGCAACTTGAAATGTAGCTTACATGTATCGTCATCCTTGCAGCTGCAAGTTTATATTTTGCTGTCTACTCCTGGATCACTCCGTATTTAAAAATCGCCAGTCAAAGCCACCAGTTGAGATGAGTAAAACCGCATATTACTTCAGCACTGCAGTGCTGAATGGGCTATGTACGTACAGTCTGTCTTAAAAGTACCGCGCAAAGTTTCGGTGGATCCATCAAGCCTGACCGATGAAGGACTGCTAAATTTGAGTCACCCCGAAGCAATCGACATCCTCGTCCCAGCCCCAGGTCAATTGGTTCGGTGACTTTCAAATTATAGCAGGCCCTTCCTCGGTCAGGCTTGATGGATCCACTGTCACTTTGCCCGGTACTTTTAAGACAGACTATACATTGAACAGCCCATGGGCTTTACAGTCTGTACTTATATGGTGGACTGTACCTAGAGAGCCGTATTTGTCCCCGAATAGCTCCAATTTGGAAAGAAGCTAATTTTGTGAGCCTTGCCAAACGTGGTGCATTATCAAAGTTCTCCTTCGCGTCCGGTCTCAGACATGTTATATCCTTCGTTACTTCAGAGCAGTTCAGTAATTTACAGTGCCAGATTTATGTCTACCACGCCACCCGCTGCATTTCTATGGACGACAGTACAGCAAGCCACCGGGACTGCGATCCTCTCGCCTTTACAGCGCAGATCCACGTTGATATGTGTCACGTCGTTTCCACTGACGACGTAACGGGCTGTGTGGCACGTGCCTGGTGTGCTAAGCCTGTACCGCACAGAGGGTTAGCGAACAGGGGATAACAGATCGGTAATGCCTCCTGAAGATGGCCCGAACCCGGCTATATAACTAGTTCCGTGGGTGGTATGGAGATAGAAGTGGATTATCCTTCATCAGCGATAAGCTATCGCAACCTAGCGATCTGGTTATGGCAACTATTCCCGATGTCATTTAGTTTGGTGAGCGATATAAGGACAATGCCAGCATATGGACAACGAAAAAAAGACACAACTTTTTCAAAGACACAATTAATATTTTCCAAACACTCATCAATATTATCATCCACTGCCATATTTACAGCACTTCGCCAATGGGTAAACTGTAATGGTAGAGCTGGGACAGCCAGCCTAGCAACAGACGATATATGTAACCTCACTGTGCCCACTGTGGGGAGGGGGGAGGGGCGAGAGGCGGTCCGCCGGTGTGAGCCGCTGTGGTGTGAACCGCTCCCCGCGCCCGGCTGACCTATCACGCCCTCGGCCACCAGATTACATCCCGAGGCCTGGAGAGCAGCGCTGCCTACACGCCAAAGACCGAACTGGATTACGGCATGCTGCTCTGTACCGCCGACAACGCCATCGGCCGGATGGTGCGGCCGTGTGTCTTCCACATCGTGCCAGCAGGTCAGACTTCTTTGGTACCTATAGTTGCCTCAGCCGCCACCACCACCGCCACTGCACCACAGTCATTACCCCTCGCCGGCACAGGGGGGGGGGGGGTTGATGCAACCCCCCTAAGGTTTTTCGCGAATAACTCGCGTAAAAAGCGGCCGATCGCGACGTAACTTTCAGTACCCTCGCATTGATCAATTTTACACCTACCCTGAAAATTTCATGACCCTGACCCCAATGACCTTTGACCTGTGACCTCTTTTCCGAGACCATGTTTGGCCGGAATCGCGATTCGGCGTATGTCGGCTAACATTAGCCGCGCGTTTGCAAGCTTTTTGTGGTTTCAAACGTTCAAACATGTGATTTGATGTCGCTCCCATACATTAGGGTGGGTGTCAAGGTCACCTGAAGGTCAGGTCAGGTCATTGACCTTTGGTGACCTCGGGTGACCTCGGTTCACTTTTTCGAGTTTTACATGTTTCTAGGCTAGTTTTTGGAGCTGAATTCGAATTTAGCAACCATTTGAACATTTACGAAGTAGTTTTGGTGCCTTCGTAACATGTTACGAAGCTGTCAGAGGCGGTTGACACGTATTACGAATACCCGTCACAACCCCTACCGGTTGACCTGACCTGGCCTGACCCGACCTGGTCTAAATGCTTAAAGACATCATCTCTGATCAAAACTAACATGATATTCGTGATCAGCATCCCGGAAAACCACATAGCAGCCACAATTTACGACTTTCTAACAGGTCCCGATTTTCCCGGTTTTCGGGTCATTGACCTGACCTGGAAGGTCACCCGATGACCTAGGACCTTAAAATTGGGTATCATCGGCTTCGTCTCGTGACGGGCAACACGCTCGTTTTTTTCCGCGAAGCTCTAGCTCAATCAGGGGCCAAACGCGAGGGGGGGGTCGTACCAACCCCCCCCCCCTTGTGCCGTCGAAGGACGCAAAATGGCCTGTGCCGGCGAGGGTTACAGTGCTGATCGATGACTCCGTGGGTGGCAACGTTCGCCAGTAGATGCAAAAGCGGATGACTAGTTGTAACTTTGCAGCGAACGGAGATGATGGGCTTGGTAACAGACTGATTGGGAGTGTTGGGAATGTTTGCACCGCTAACTTTTAGAATATGCATCTGTTAAGATGGCTGCTGGGTAGATAACTTCATGCTTGTATTTGGGGTCGTGAGCGAGAAACTCCATCCCACCAAGAGTTAGCATGTGCTTATTTTTACTTTGAGGCATTTTTAGTCCAAGGTTAGGTACTGATGCCTGTTTGGTTTCATTTCTCGCCAGGTCCTCCGGACCCGGTACACAACTGCTCTGTGGTCAACCAGACGTCCGAGTCGTTGCGCGTGGCCTGCTCGGCGGGCTTCGACGGCGGCCTGCCGCAGCGCTTCAGCGCCGAGCTGTACGACGCCACCTCCGGCCGGCTGGAGCGAAACCTGAGCGCCGGCCGGCCAGAGTTCGAGGCCGAGCGGCTGCCGGCCGGCGTCGAGCTACGCGTGCGTCTGTACGCTTTCAACGCGCGCGGCCGCAGCCGGCCCACCACGCTCGACGGCTTCACGCTGAAGGCCGCCGAGAAGCGCGTCAGTAGCAGCACCGGTGAGCGGCGCCAATTCGGCCCGGCGAATTTCCAATCTCGGCACACAATTAGACTCGTCCCGAACGGAATCGTCCTATTCAGACTGAGCGCGACAGCGCCGGGCCCACCCAACAGCATCGAAAGAGCTGCTCGCCGTTCGTTCGAGCGCGCTCGAGTGGCCTTTTGATCGTCGCGCGGGGGAGGCGATCGGCTGCCGTAGCTCGTAATCCGGCTCTGCACTGCTCTCTCACATAAATCGTAGGCGTTCGAGACACATCCTGGTACGGCATGCTGGCGTACTGTCAGTCCCAGAAATGTTGATGTACAGGGATGTTCACGAAAAACTGACACATTTTATTTCCGAATTACGAGAAAACACTTGCCCTCAGAACGGTGATCATGCTATGGGCAAATAGAGTGGACTTCTAAGTTTGTATTGACATATTTTGGGATCATGTCATTTTCGTTTCTAAGAAGTTACAGCGTATTTTGCAGATGACGAGTTTTTGGAGCAGTGCACGACTCAGCCCGAAACAGGAAATTATTCCCCGTTTTTGGGCACGTGCCTGGAGAATTGCAACACCTCTCACTGCACTTGTCGGGAGGTTTGATGTCCTTTGGGCCGCTGCTACAGATCATGTCACTCACGTGACCCCACAGGAATAGTCCACGGAGTTGAGGAAGAGCGAAATGGCCGGCTATGGGTGAGAGGTGATGCGCGAGACAAGTGCCCCCTCCCCCCTGTTCTCGTGTGAGACCGATGATCGCCGTTACTGTACGTAGGGTGGCCCTGACGTGCCAGAACCACCAAATGGTGTAGACGTCGACCCATTTCCGCTACAGTAGCTAACAGAAGCTGTTAAAAGATGGCACGGTACCACTCTACAGTGACTGCCAGCATGCGGCCATGGTTTCTGACATCAGCACTTCCAAGCCTGCCAATTTTGGCATTCCTTAGGAATTTGCCCACAATATGCCAATAGTATAAAACATAATCCATCCAAACATTAATAGGTATGTCAAATTTTAGACGAATTCGTAGACTGGTTCAGTCGTGGTGGCAGATGGCAGCCGCGAGAGCTTCGTTGTTTTTCCGTTAAGTTTTGTCGCCAAGTCAAATTTCCCCATTTTAACGCTTTCTTATTTATTTGGAAGCTCATGTGATGCTAACTAAAGGAGCTATGCAGATACAAAACTTTTTTCAACAGGCTTTCGAATGGCATGCAAGTCAATTCTCCGTGAGCTCTCACATGCTCACAAAGTCGTTTTAAAATGTGTCAGTTTTTCGTGAACATCCCTGTATGTGTCTATAGAAACTGGCTCCTTGAATGGCTCCCATGATTAAATATTTACTGAGCTGTCGTAATAAGTTTGATCACGATTGTGAGCACTCTAACCGATAACTGTATGTTTGCCCTCAACTGTTTGACCTTTCAGTGACTTCGACGTATGTTTCTTATTTGGCACTGACCGGCTTTGAAGCATCATACTTGTATATGCTATTCATTGGCCGCACATTGCGCAATGTTGCACATAAAGGTATACAGTTCTAACTTGTTAACAGCCAAAACATGCCTCGACGGTATATAAATGTACCGGCCTATTCACTAGCAGCTCATTCATTGTCTCAGAGCAGTGAATTGGTTACGCTCACTCTCCCGGTGGCCGGTTGGATATTCATTATTCAGTTACCCATTCGAGGTATCACAATAGAACATCCAGCCTACAGTACATAGTTGTATTAGCGCGGTAAGCACCCGAGGTATCCCCGTCTCTGTCAGCTTGCTGGATGCCGGATGTCTCAATCAATTGAGCAATGTGCAATGCTCCACCCAATGTGAGATGGGGCTGGACATACATTTGATAGATTTGAAGTAAGATTTGTCGTGGAAGTAGAGATGCTATTGGGAAGAGAGGACTCATCGTGCGGTAAAATTTTGATAGGATGTTGTTGACGTGAGACTTGAATCTCAGATCAGTTGAGATTGTTACTCCAAGGTGTTTGTGGGAATCGCGAATGGGAATTGGTGAACCGCCAAATTCCAGGCACGGAATGTGTGTTTTTTTGTTACTAAGCGTTTGTTGGACTGTTTTTGTAGCATTAAATGTTATTATCCAGTCGTCTCCATAGCGTTTGATGCGATTTAAGTCGATTTGCAGTGATTTTTCAACTTCATGAAAATTATTAACATTGTGACTGGCATGTAAGGAGCTGTCATCCGCAAAAAATAGCATTTCATTGTTGGTAACGCTACTGAGCCCATTTAGATACATTATGGCCAGCAGTGGACCTAGGATGGATCCCTGTGGCACTCCTGCGGATAACTCACGCTGGGTGGACGTAGTTTGGCCTAGCTGGACTACTTGTCTCCTGTCACTTAGATAAGAGTTTAGCCAATCAAGTTGTGCACCTCTTATACCAAATTCTTTATCACATTTTGCTAGCAGCCCCTCATGCCAAATCTTTTCGAAATATCTTGATATATCCAGGTAAATGATTGTGTAATCCTCACCCGAGTCCATGGCTCTATATAACCTGTGAGTTAGATAAGCAAGCTGGAGCTCTGTGTTGTGACCAGGGCGATAACCACTTTGTTTTTGTGTTAAGAGCGAATGACTGTGAATGTGCTCATATATCTGAGTGAACATAAGTTTTTCGAATATTTTCGATAGACAAGGCAGTAAGCTTATTGGTCGATATGATGCAGCCTCAGATGGGGAGCCCTTCCCTTTAAAAATTGGTTTAACTGTGGCTTTCTTCCACTGAGTTGGGTACCTGCCTTTTTGGACTGATTTGTTTAAGATTCTGGATAGAGGCTCAGCAATGTAAGCCGCTGACATTTTGATTAGTTTCGCCGGTACGCCGTCGGAGCCGGTGGCTTTAGACGAATCCAGCCCATTGATGGTCTTCAAAACATCTCGAGGTGTAATGGGAGAAAACTGGAAGGTGTGCTGAGTGCTGTTATATGAAGATTTGTATTCGCGTACGAGCTGTAAGTGTTTATCTGTAATGTTTATTTCTGTCTGGGAACAAAAGTACGAATTGAGGGCCTCGGCCTTGCGGTGGTCGTCACTTACAAGATCATTTTCGACAATCAGAGGAGCCATAATGGAGTTTTGCTTGAACCCCGTAACGCTTTTCAGGATTTTGTGGTATTTGTAAGGGGTTTTCTTGCTAGTGACAAGTAGATGTACTTTGTGTTTAATGGTTTCATTTTTGAGTTTTCTATTAAGGCTGGTTACAAGGTTGCGCTGAGATCGCCAGATCGACCAATCTCTTTCTGAGTTGTGACGTTGAGCAAGCTTGAATAACCGGTCTCGTTTACGCATTTCGCGCCTCAGCTCTGCTGTTAGCCACGGTTTGTGATTGCGGATCTTTACGGTTTTCTTTGGTATGTGAGCTACTGCAGTATGCAAGATGGCTTCTGTTAACATTTCAATTGCATCATCGGTGTCGGCATTTGTTATGGCGCTCCAGTCTATGTTTCTCAGTGTATTAATGAAACCGTCAACGTTGGTATTTGAGTAGTCCCAGCGGGTTGTTGTTACATGTCGGTCAGCGTCGATTTTCTGAAGGGACAAAGAAATAAGTAGAGGGAAATGGTCGATGTTTGAGAAAGCCGGTAAAACTCCTGAAGATTTAATTAGTTCGGTTCGGTCTACAAATATCAAATCTCTTAAGTTGTGGGTGTCCCCTTGTACGCGGGTTGCTGTGTTAATAATTTGAGTTAAGTTTGACGCTTCAGTGATATTTTTCAGTTTGTTTTCGAAAGTGGTGATGGGGGAGTGGTTGGGTGAATTACTAGGCAGCCAGCAGTTTCCAGCATTAAAATCGCCAACGAGGACCAGAAGATCGGGACTATGCTGTTTAGCTTCAAGGACACAGTCAGACAAGTAATCTAGGAATTGAGATTGTCGGTCGCTAGTGGTGTTCGGTGGAAGATAAACTGAGCAGAGCAGCAGCGTCGTTTTATGGAATTTGATTTTCACCCATAGGGTTTCAAAGAGCTCACACTCAAGATGTGATATTTGCGAAAAAGGTAGTGTGTCTCTGACATATACTGCAACTCCTCCGCCCTTCCTTGTCCTGTTTTTTAGTAATGGCGCATGAAAACCTTTCAGAGAGTAAAGACTGGAATGTATAGTGGTGTCAAGTTTTGTTTCAGATAGTGCTAGTATGCTAATATCGTTAATGTCAACGTAGCTTTGAAGCTCCTGTAGCCTTTCGTTGGCAGTGATGGAGTTGATATTAATTGCGGAGATGTTAACACCATCGCTTCGGAGCGTACCAGTTACTGGTGGCATTGTGGGCACGGGGAAGGCGCTTCGACTGGCGGCGGGTGGCGAGAGAACAGTTTCCATAAAACAATGTGCAATGTGGGCTATGGCTTAACTTTTGGCAAGATGACACTGATTTTGAGAGATGAGCAAGTACATCCGCATACTTTCGTCTCTATGCGTCGAGAAAGCGGAGATGATAGACATTGATAGCTCCGAAACGTTAAAGCATATAAAAAAATGACATACGACGACTGGGCACAGCTATCGTTAACTCGTGCATCGTTGTCAGGTGGGAAATCATATCACACTGAGCACAAGACAATATATGATGGGCAATATGCAATATACACAAGGTCATGTAAGGTGATTTGGTTATGTTTAACACTGGACGCATGTACGGCCGGCGCTGTACGAACCGGCACCGGAAACCCAGCCCCAGCCGGGAGGGCGGGGGGGGGGGGGTGCCGGCCCGTCTGGGAGATGGGGTGTCACTACTCACAGCGTAGACCCGGCTCGCCTAACGGTCACCGCTCGGGAATCGTTCCCTGTCGACACGCCCACTGTCAGAGACGGCGGGGCGAGCAGCTGATTGATGAGGTGTTGCCTGAGTCCGAGTATTTGCGCAGCTGCGCAGACCGTCCTTATAATGCCTTCGATGGTCGGCTGGTTAGCTCAGCGGCGGGGGCCGTCCCCTCAGTCGCCCCGAACGGCGGGGGACCTCCCGCGGCGGCGCTCGGTCACCCACGCGTTGATGGCGTCAGCGGCCTGCCAGGCGGGCCCCGAATATTTGATTGCCATCTGACAGCATTTGACAAGTCCCGACTAGAGAAAGCACAGAACAGGGCGGCACGCCTTATCACTGACACACCTCGAAGGACGTCTACAGCGGGCCTCCGGAAAGAGCTGGGCTGGACCTCACTAGTAGACAGACGTCGCGCCCACAAAGTGCAACTCTATCACAAGATAGCATTAGATGATCGTGTTCCGGACTTCATAAAAGACATCACACCCAAAACGAGAAACCTAGAGATGGAGAGAAATCTGCGATGCACACAGTCCACTCAACGCACCATCCCAGCAGTCCGCTCAGCTTCCTACGCGAGATCTATCATCCCAACAACAACAAGAATCTGGAACGAACTACCCAACGACTTACGAGCCGAACACAGCCAAAAATTCTTCAAAAAGAGGCTGTATGCATATGCCGGTATAAACATGTCACCCAGCTCCTACCTAAGCACAGGTTCCAAAATTGGAAACCGGCTTCACACCCGACTCAGGCTTAATTCATCAGATCTTAAAGACCACAGATTCAAAATAGGGAAAAGTGATTCAGCCAAGTGCAGTTGTGGTGCTGCTACAGAAAACAACGAGCATTTCCTCCTAATCTGTCCACTCTTTCGCACAGAACGAGAAGAATTGTTCGAAAGGTTAACTGAAATTCTCAGTGAGAACTTTCAAAACATTCCTCGGAAAAAGAAAATAGAAACACTGCTAAATGGGCCTTCGCGAGTTATAAAGGTTACCCGCCATGACACCGCCATGGCCGTCCAGAGCTATATACTCAAAACGCGGAGATTTGCCTGCTAGAACTAGGAGCAGCACTTCCATTTCGGAATACAGAGCAATGGCGCGAGTAGGGGCGGGGACAGGCGCTTCGGCCAAGGCAGGGTCGACTTCGCTATGTTAATATTGACATTTTGATTAAGATCAGTAGTGATTAGTAGTGTTCGATTAGAAGTGTTATTGTCTGCTTTCTACGTGTTTCGAGCGGCGTCTCGTTTTAAGCGCCATAGCGCTTCTACGCCAATCGTAATGTTTCGACAAGTGTAAATATGGATGCTCAAATAAATCATCTCTCATCTCTCATCTCATCTCATCTCATAACACACCCAGCCAAAGAATAATTGCATGTTTTGCTTTGTCGTCGCCGTAATTAAATCCTGACACACTGAAAACTTTTTTACCATTTCCTGAAGGGTAAACCCGCCATAGCATGGTAGCTTGACACACAGACGTTTTTTACCACCTTCCAGATGGTAAATTTTACTCTTTCATGAAGAGTAAACTCGCCAGGGAGGGGTAACATGACACACAGACGTTTTTTACCATCTTCTAAATGGTAAACACTTTTGATTTACTCTTGTCTAGAGTGTAACATTTTTTGGGTTACACTCTTTGAAAGGGTAAATCTTTAACGGAACCCTTTTTTAGGGAGTAACGCATCATCTACTCTGTGCTTTACCCTCCTACAGAGAGTATATTCTTATGGCCTACCCTTTGTCACATGGTAATGTTTACTCTTTCCTTTAGTGTAAACCCCCCAGAGGATGGTAACAGACCCACAGACGCTTCCTTCAGAAGCTTCACGAAGCTTCTGTTAACCGGAGCTCACCAACTAAAAAAAATGTTTCAAGAGCAACAATGTAGGTATATTTGGCTTCCGTACAAACAATACGAGGGGCACACCAACCATGAACATTGTGAGACTCTTCACTTATTCATACAAATTTATACAAAGCGTTCAGCAATGCACAAGCGGTAAATAAACACCACGATACAACTTGAATGCAATTTGAAGACATTCAGCGCCCTCATATTGGATTAGGCAGAGCGCACAATATTTGAAGTGAGCGACGGCGTTCCTGGGTGGTCGCCCGTCTGCGTGAGATAATGAGACTGGATCACTACAGTGCAAGGCTTTTTCAAAGTCACCAACAAAATGCATAAACTTGTAGCATCACAACAAAATTAATGTACGTACTCACAACACTAGGCCACGTGGCCGTGCACGGGGTCCTGTTAACCAGGTCAAATTAGCACCACTCAACGGCACGCAATGCTCTAGCACATCGGTACTTACAATAAAATGTCCACAGAGGCTCTATAGGCGATGAACAACACACAAGCACAATCACCAACGGCCACGCCGCGCGGCACCGACACTGCTCACATCCGCTCTCGGAGACCAACGGCCGAAAACTGACAGATGCGCGCGGCCTTCAAACCGCAAACGGCCGATCTCGTTTCTGATTGGCTGATTGTTTCCATTTCAAATATCATCTTCACGAGGGTAAACAAGATCCACGCATGAAACGACTATCTGTACCCGAGTCACGATACCCAGGAGGAAAGAGTTTTCGTGATGTTCTGGATCGCGAGAGTAATATTGATATTCACATGGTAATAATACTCTTCGCTGGCGAATAAGTTCATATTAACCACGTACCGTTACTATGCACATAATGGTAGCAGCGAGTTACCCTTTCAATATACTATTATCTTGCGGGTTTGATGAAAATGAACTCTCCAGGAGGTAGTAAAAAAGTTTTGAGTGCATGAGACGGTTGGTGCTTTGCGTTGACATTTCTTCAATTCCCTCCTCTCTCCAGTTGAGATGCCGCCGGAGGACAAGTGTTTCAGTGACTCCGATCCTGGGAGTGTTGGTCTGACCTGGGAGTGTTGACCTCCCCTCCTCTCTCCAGTTGAGATGCCGCCGGAGGACAGCGTATCCGTGACTCCGATCCTGGGAGTCCTCATCGGAGTGGTCGCCTCGCTGATCATCATCGCCATCGGCGTCGTGGCCTGCATGCGCAACAACAGGTGCGTCACCAGGGGCTGTGTCATGGTCAGGAACTAGAGATGTCAATCGGATACCAACTTTTTGGCACACCGATACCAAACGGATATCAACTTGGTATTTAGTATTTCAATCCTAATGTTTTTGGTATTTCGCTGGTATTATAAACCCTCACTAATGCATAAGGGGCTGAGAAACTGGCAAAAAGTTGGTATCCCCTCATGTTCCCAAGCTGGTTCAGTTTCGGCATTTCCTCACGATTTTGGTTGGTATTTGTTTTGGTATCGGTATTCCGATTTTCTGTAATTGACATCACTATCAGGAACCCACCAAGCAGTGGAATGGAACCGGGGTATGGCTCCACACCACCGCGCACAGCAACCGCAGTCGAATAAAACCGGACTCTGGCCACAATCAGGGCTTCAGTCGGGCGATTCTCCTGAATTTGTGGCGCTGCCGGGACGAAATTGGCCGGACTGGGGTGAATAGCAGGGTTCTATTAGTTCTTTTCTTACTGTTCGTCACTGGACGGAGGGTCGGCCGAGATCTTCCTCTTGAGATGGAAGGCGCGCGGATTGGCTATATGCTGAGGCGGGTTCCTCATTAGCTGCGCAATATTCGACATAGCGCGCTGTTCAGCGGCTATCATTGTTTTTTATTGATAATGATATTCCTTGATTAATGCGAGTATGTATAGTATCGTGGGCATAGCATATAGGCATAACATAGCATAGTATGAGAATAGCATCATAGCATATAGTCAAGCAACGTGTGTCGCATCACAGACGTGCCTGATGATGACATATTTTTTTAGTTATATTTATAAACCTAAGCGTCTATCAAGTTATAAAATGATAGTGAATTTCCAAATTACTACATTGCTGGATGCAATGTGCTGGATTTTGAGAGGTGATTAACGATTTAAAGCAATAATAATTCCCCTAAAAGCCACATGTTGCCTTTGATGTCGCCGCTGCCGTGCATTTCGAAATGGCACGCTACGACCATTGCATCAAAGAAAACGATCACAAACTCATTGCCTATTTGCCGAAATGTTTCTCTTCACTCGATTGATTGAAGTGCTACAGGAATTCCAGAATAATTAGCCCGGCAACCGGACTCGACTGCGTTAAAAAATACAACGGAATTCCAGCGCCAACTTAATCTTCTTAACCTACATGGAAACATAATAACAAATACAGAAATGAGGGAAACAGGAAAAGATGAAACGTAAAATTGACAGGGAGAAAAGGAAGGAGGTACGAAAAGACCCATAGAAGTATCTAGATAAAGTGAAAATTAGAACAGTCTGTGACCATGGGCTCGTCTACTATCCACTCTGTGAGACCTGACCTCACTGCCGACCTCATCTCACCATCTCTCCCTCCTCCGCAGTCGCCGCGCAGCCAAGCCGCCGAACCCGGCCGACCTGGTGCACTCCTCGCTGATGATCAAGGATGGTACCGACGCGACCGGCGACGCCGAGTACCGGGTGGCGCCGGCGACGTCGCCCGACTCCGTCAAACACATCGCTGCCGACGATACCAATCCGGACGTGGTGCCAAACAAGTTTGGTGAGTGCGTACACAGACACAAACACGGCCGACAAATACACACCGGATCTCAACTGGTGGGCTCAAACAAAACACTCAAGGCACGGTGGTGAGTTAAACAAGCAGTGATTGCCGGGGACGCTGCAGCGCGACATTGGTGTCCGCTTTCAGTCAGCTGTACTCGTAACTGTCGGTGAGGAGTTTTGGTGTGGTTACGTGGTGCAATTTTCTGTCGTTGGCATCTACGACACAAGTGACACAGTTTGAGTTGCTTCTATCATATTCTGACAGTGCATGCGATAAAAAAAATCAAATTTATCTGCGGTGACTATGTGCGCTGGATTGACCCATGATGTCGTGTCTCCGGCGCAGATCCCGAGTATGAGGTAGCGGAGTCGACGCTTCTTCTCAACCACGTGAACGTCGGCATGGGCGGCAGGAACAGCCTCCTGCTGCCGACGGTGCGTCCACCGCACGCAGCCGCGCCTGCCGGCAGAGACACGCCCTACGCTCAGGTAAACAACGGGAGGAGCAGGGCTTTACGGTCCTTCAGTTATTCAGCAATGTGGGATAGAGACCCACCAACTAACCAACTTATATAGATAATTCCATGGGTGTAACTTTGTATACTTTCGAGGTCCCATGTGGGACCCCAATGCGAACATTTGGGACCCCAATTGTCATTTTGGGACCCCAATAGTGGAGGCCCCCGAGACGCATCAGCTTCTTTGCAAACGGAGGTCCGATATTCATATAAAAGGTTCTCTGTTTAAATAGGAGGCCCCTTGGACAAATCGGAGGCCCTGTTGGACAAATAGGAGGCCCCCTGAACAAGTAGGAGGCCCCCTGAACAAGTAGGAGGCCCCCGGAAAACAGGAAGTCCCCTGGAGAAATAGGAGGCTCTCTGGACAAGTAGGAGGCCTCCTGGACAAATAGGAGGCCCTAGACAAATAAGAGGCCCCTAGACAAATAGTAAGCCCCATGGACAAGTAGGAGGCCCTCTGTACAATTAGGAGGCCCCCCTGCAAAAATAGGAGGCCCCCTGGACAAATAGGAGGTCCTAGACCTAGACAAACAGGAGGCCCCTTTCACAAAAGGAGGCCCCTGGACAAATAGGAGGCCCCATGGACAAGTAGGAGGCCCTCTGTGCAAATAGGAGGCCCCTGCAAAAATAGGAGGCCCCCTGGACAAATAGAAGGTCCTAGACCTAGACAAAAAGGAGGCCCCTTTCACAAAAGGAGGCCCCCTGGACAAATAGGAGGCCCCTTTCACAAAAGGAGGCCCCTGGACAATTAAGAGGCCCCCTGAACAAGGAGGCCCCCTGGATAAAGAGGTAGCCCCCTAAAAATAGGAGCCCTCTGGATAAATAGGAGGCCGCTTGGAAAATAAGAGGCTACTTTAACCAATAGGAGGCCCCTTGGACAAATAGGAGGCCCCCTGAACATGTAGGAGGCACGCTGGACAAATAGGAGGCCTCTTGGGCAAAGAGGCCCCCTAGAAAAATAACAGATCCCTTGGACAAATAGGAGGCCCCCTGGACAAATAGGGGACCTCTTGAACAAATAGGAGGCTCCATGGACAAGTAGGAGCTAGAGGCTCTCTGTACGAATAGGAGGCCCCCTGGACAAATAGAAGGCTCCCTTAACAAAAAGGAGTCCCTTCAAAAAAAGGAGGCCCCGGGACAAGTAGGAGACCCTTGGACAAATAGGAGGCCCCTGCACAAATATGAGACTCCTAGTCGAATAAAAGACCCCTGGATAAATAGGAGGCCCCTGGACAAATAGGAGGCCCCTGAACACGTAGGAGGCCCCCTAGATAAAGAGGAGGCCCCCTGGAAAATAGAAGCCCCCTGGATAAATAGGGGACCTTCTGGAGAAACAGGAGGCCTCCTGGACAAATAGGAGGTCCCATAGACGAATAGGAGGCCGCTTGGACAAATAGGAGGCGCCGTTAACCAATAGGAGGCCCCCTAGACAAACAGGAGGCCCTCTGTAACAGTAGGAGGCTCTCTGTACGTACAAGAGACCGGCGCTCGACCTGTAGAAGCTTAGCCGTATGTACGCTAGGAGGCTCTCTGTGCAAGTAGTCGAAGTAGGAGGCTCTCTGTACTGTACCTACAATTACAAATAAGAGGCCCCCTGGGTAACTTAGATGCAACACAAATCGGAGGTCACCTATAAAAAAGCGGGACTCTGTTGGAATACCTGATTTAATAAATTATTTTCCTGATATTCAAATTACTTAGGTAATCCTCGTCCGCACATGGGGGGGGGGGGGCAGTGGTTGCCACACCCCCCACCCCGACCTAGGTAGTTTTTTTCTGCTCTGCACTAAACATTTTGATTGCTAGAAGTCGGATATTTCGTATAGCTGCTGCTCTATCCTTTTTTAGCGTCCACTGAAAATTTCAAGTTTCTGTGGTTTTTGGTTTCGGAGATATGACCTTATTCTTCAGGTAATGTCATAACCCAAATGACAAATACCCAATATCTTGCGTTGGCGTTGGGTCTTGTGAGCTTTTGACACCTTGATTTCGGCCTTTTTTGTCAGTCTTACCTCCCACCTATCATGGAACATGTTGTTCAATGATGTAGAGATGCCAGGGTCAGGGTCAAGGTCAACCTAGGTCGTCTAAAAATATTGCGTTTTAGGCAAGCTGAATTTACTTTCGTGAAGTTTCTTTGACTGTATTTTTGGCAAAAGCTTCTCAGTTCATGATCTCATGTAATATGGACACATTCACATTCGGTGCACACATCAGTATACTCGTACACACAGACACACACAGACATACAAACACATGTCATTGACCTTGAGCTAACTTGACCTGAAATGACCACAGCCAGCAAAAACCTAGTCGGATAGTGTGACAAAGAGGTTCTAGCTGGCTTGGCACCACAATACGGCAGCGTCATCGGTACATGATGAGCAGCGCACGTGATATTCCAACGGGCAACGGTGACCCCAAACAGCAACATTCTTTAGTTTGACCTGACCTGGAAGGTCAATGACTGACCTGATGAGGTAAAATTGGTATCATTGGATTCGTCACTTCCCAAAGAATCTGTTGCTCTTGACCGCAAGGCTTAAAATCTTGTAAGAAAAAATTGTGGTGATGTCGAATAAGATACCTACACAAGCAGCGGGCCAACCCATCATATACCGATGACGCTGCCGTATTAGTGCCAAGCGAGCTAGAACAGCTCTTTGTCACACTATCCGACTAATTTGCTGGCTGTGGTCATTTCACGTCAAGTTAGGTCAAGGTCAATGATATGTGTTTGTATGTCTGTGTATGTCTGTGTATGTACTGATGTGTGCACAGATCGGTTTGTGTGTCCCTATTACACTTGATCATGAAGTGAGAAGCTTTTACTAAACATACAGTCAAAGAAACTTCACGAAAAGTAAATTCAGCTTGCCTAAAGCGCAATAATTTTAGATGACCTAGGTTGACCTTGACCCTGACTCTGACATCTGTACATCGCAGAACAACATGTTCAATGATAGGTGGGAGGTAAGACTGGCAAAAAAAGCCGAAATCAGCGTGTCAAAAGCTCACAAGGCCCATAGCCATCGCAAGATATTGGGTATTCGTCATTTAGGACATGACATGACCTGAAGAACAAGGTCATATCTCCAAACCCAAATGCCGCAGAAGCTTGAAATTTTCAATGGACGCTGAGAAAAGATAGAAAAGCAGCTATACAAAGAAAATCAGGTTTCTAGCTTTAAAAATGTTAAGTGTAGAGCAGAAAAACTAACTTGGGGGTGGCGACCCTCCCCCCAGGTGCCGGCGAAGGTTAACCCTCACACTTTCTGGGGTCGGCTTACGGCTAGATTCCTTGCGCAATGCTGTGCCGTTAATTTTTTTTCTATTATAAAGGCATTGTGTTTTATTGTCAAAAGTGAAAAAGCCAGAAATTTTCGTCGATTTCGGATGCCGCGGGGGATATTTACATACAATGTCACCCTGCTGGCCTGGATCCACCAGTAGGGTCAGGTGACCTACCATTTCTTTATCGATATTAAAAAAAAAAATCATGGCATCAGAGCTGTGACGAAAAATAAGTGGCCTAAATCCGATGAGAAAACTGGATTTGGGGGTACCCCATGTTTGGCTTCTGAGCCTCTGGTCCCCCAATGAAAATTTCTTAGAGGAGGCCCTGGCGTGGCTCGTAAATTACCGCTTCCGCAATTGGAGGCCCCTAATTGCTTGGAGGCCCCCACTAAATGGAGGCCCCCTTGGACGTTTGGGACCCCAATGGTGATGTCAAAGTTTCACCCATGGATAATTCTGCCAATTGCGAATTTGGTTGTTGCGAATTTGGTTGTTGCGAATTTGGTTGTTGCGAATTTGGTTGGCGGGCAGTTGCGGGCAGGATCTCAGATCAATTTGCGATGATAATGTCAGTCTGTACTGATGTTGCTGTACGAATAGTATGAGTAAGCGGTGTACTATGAAATGACCGCCGTACAATTTGAAATATGAGTAGGGTAGGACTACGGAATAACCTAAATCTGGCGGTGCGCTGTAAATATCGCTCATAGAGCCCCGAGTTACGTTACGTAAGGTAGTCCGACATTTACTGCCTACTCCTGTGCTGTCGTTTCTCTCCTGCTTCTCATTAAAGTTACACATGAGCGTTGATCCTGGCTGACCTTTCCCACCCCGACTGACGCTTCCTGACCCGACAGGAGGGCGTGACATACGCGGAGCTCACCCTGCCCCGACCGGGCGAAATGAGCAGGGCCAACCGCTCCCGAGATCGGGTCATCTACGCCACGATCGACCACGGCCGGGCGCCGGGCGGTGCGCGCGACACGGTGGTCAGGACTGCTCCGGCTTCGGATCAGCGCGAGAGTGTGGTCTGAGCGCGCCGCACGGTGGTCTGTGACGCCGACTTTGTGACCAAACAAACGGGCGCCGCCGCAAAGTGTGCTGAGGGTGACCCAAATATGGCCAAAAGGTGTCACAGCCGATAGTTGCGTATGTTGTGTTCGGCGGCCGCTATCCGCCGATCCATAAGGCGAACCTTCGTGTGATGTTTCGACGTTGTCTGTCGGGACGCACGGTGGGGCTCCTCCGCCATCCGGCGCTTCTCCGCCGCCCTCTGATGTCCTCCGCTGTGTTCAAGTGGAGGATGTGGTGTCGAGACTGCCGGGACATGAGCGTGGACCCACCGGCGGTCCAGCCCCCACGCCCGTACGGCCGCCAATATCCGCTGGAAACAATATCAATGTCGGGCCTCAGGACTCGCCAATGGAAGGCGAACCGTGTCGCGTTCATGTTGACCGTGCGCGTGTTGTGTCAAATGACTCTATTTTCAGCGCCAGTGAAGCGCGCAGGATGTGCAGTGTCAAAGTGTGTCAGGGTTTCGACAATCGTGTGTCGTTTTTGATGTCTTGTCGGCACCGGAGGCCCTTGTACCAAAGATTGCCATGAACAATACGGTGAAAATGACAGTCTGTCAAATTATTACATATTAGTGAGTATACAAGTCAAGTTATATCCAACCAACTAGCGACGAAGAAATGGTTGATTATGAAATATTTGATGCATCTCTCATGACCTTCCCTTTATTTGCCTGTGCTCATGGAAAAATGTCGCAGGCAGTGCGTCTCACGTTTTGAATGCCTCTCGTGACAGGCATTCACATTTATCATTGTATCATAACATTGATAGGCGCTACGTTTTCGTTGATAAGTGGTCTTAATTCTTTGCATGTTTGCAGATGACTATTTTCCATGTGAAATGCCTCTGCTCGAACTTTTCGGAATCGGTTGATGCTTGTTTTTAATCGACGTGTCAGCAGTGAACTGACAATCTTAAAAGACAAAGTGTTGATAGTTTGTTGGCGAACGATCAACACAATCCATCAAGAGACTTTTCAATTGTGAAAAGCTACACATAATATCATCACTTTCTAAGAACATCCCCTCATTGTCAACCGGCTGAAGCGGTTTTTATATCGTATTGAGCCATACGTGATCTCATTTGAGCCTGCGGTGTATCTGCGGTTCTGGGTCGGTTTGGAACTGCTCCGGTCTGGGAAATGTTACGGCTCGTTTGGGTCGTCTCCGTCTGCCAGATATATCAATATGCGCGGTGTCAGAGTGTCGTCTCCGTGTCAGGTATCACCGCGGTGTCAGGTGTCGCTGCGGTGTCAGGCGGGTGGACCGTGCGCGGTACGGGGTCGTCCGTGCATGTCTCCGGTTTATGAGTACCTGTCGCGCTATATATGTCCGTTGGTTGTACTTCTTACTAACCGCCGACTGTAATTGTTTGACGTTGTGCTTTTGTTTTGTTTTGATGCCTTGCGTTCTTTGCAAGTTATATGTTATAGATCTACCTCACCTTTATTTTATCCAGCATGTGACAAGATAAGTTATGTCTCGCCATCGAGCAAGCGCTACCTACAGTGGCGCATGCTTCTGTCTCAATCAGCCGTTGTACATCACACGAAGATGCGCTTACGATGGATTTAGCTAGGATTGTCAACAAAAGTCACCTGTTTTGTTCCTGATTTTGCTCTTTGTCTGTTTTGAACACTCGTTGGAAGTTGTTTATCGGAACTGCCCGCTTGATTTGTAAGAAGAGAAATATACTGGATGGCGATTTCCTTTTATAAATGAAATAAGGCGCGGGAACTACTTTCAGACGGGGGGGGGGGCACACCATAATATAGAACAACCTAGGGTACCCCAAATCTAGATTTCTCATCGGTTTTAGGCAACTTATTTTTCATCCCTTGGCTTTTTCAACAAAAAAAGAAAACATTTGCAAAAAAGTGCGGTATTCAGTCTCAAAGTTGTGGGCGCACCGCCCCCCCCCCCCACGGTCCCAGAGCTGGGGGGCAAGCTGCCCCCCACTGCCCCCCTCCCCAGTTCCCGCGCCTACATATGATCAGGGATCATTCAAAATGCATTCTACGAAGATACCTCGTTCAGTGGAATCCTCTTAGTTAAGCCAAGAATTAGGCTGGGTTGGCGCATCAGTCTGAAATAGCTTCGGCCAGCTTTAAGTTTTTGATGATTAGACAGCAATGATGTGCGTGGAATTTGTTGGTTTAATTCAATATATTGATAGTTGCTGTGAGTAATGGAGCATTGAGTCACATCATTACCAGACATATCAGAACATTTTCATTTAGCGTTTTTGATTTCGTGAGTATTTTTAGCATTAGACTGGTGTTAACATGGGTGATTCACAGACAGTGCGGGGGGGGGGGGGGGTCAGTGGTCGCGTAAGACGGTATTCAATCGAACCTAGATGGTGTAGATTCCGCCCCTTTCCCCGAACAATCTGGTTAGATACAGCTGAATCACCGACTCCCCTTCCCCTCTTCATGTCCAGGCGTCTGTTCGTGTGGATCTGAACCACTGCCCCCTATTGTCCCCTCCAATCGTCCCCCCCCCAGGGGATCACCTGAGTCACCCTTCCCCCCTACCCCACCCCCACTGCCGGTCGAGGAACACAGATGCCCGCTGATAGAGGCGTTAATTACCCCGGCGATAATTGGAACGAATTCCGGGGAGCGCCGTCCAGTCATCACCTGGCTTCTGACGACTGATGTTACCACCGAACGTTCTGACATAAGCATTACCAGTTGTACGCTGACGGCACAGCAGGGCCGACACACACTACGACGGTGCTGATAGCATTGTCAGAAGTGCGAATGCAGTTTCATTTAGCGAAGAAGCGCCTGGTGAATTTTTAACGCAGGACAGGGCTGTGTACGCGACTCGGCTCCAACTTGTTTGCCGGCCTGCGCTATTTCATCTCTCGCATTGATTTGGAAACTTCCCGTCTCATTTTTTTTTTTTACGAAGCACAGCCGATGCTTCCGCCTACCGGTCCGAGCGCACTAAATAAGACAGCACAGGCTGAGATGCAACTGTCTCTCGCAAACGCGGCTCAGTTTCTTCGGACGTAGCAGCCCAGTCAAGAGTAGACGGAAAACATGGCACAGCGGTACACGAATACAAAGAAAGTCGCCGCGCCGGGGCCACTCCCCCTCAGCTGCCACGTGCTTGTGTCGCTGTATATCTTAGCAGGGATGTATGAGGTTTGTAATTCACTGCTGAATGGTCACGTCACGTCTAGAGACCAATCCCGGTCGAAGCCCACGGACGTATGTTAGTACGTGTTTGAGAGCACCTTTTCCGCTGATAGAAGACCCGCTCCGACCGGGGACCGCTTATGATCACACGTGCGCCGGCATACATTAACTTCAATGGTGGCATGCATTGTCAGATGATTAATGGTGGTGCAAATGAAGCAATGTGCTTCTTCAGAAGAACATACTTGAGCTGTGAAGAGGCCTGCATTACTCGCGGTTCAGTAATGCAGGACGATTCTACTTTTGCTTGTCGACTGCATTACGGAAATTGTCTTCTGGAAATACATATTGCACTTTTTTCTTATAAATGTCTGAACTGCACATTTTTACATCTTGTCGTGACCCTGACCATAAAAACGGCAGGTTCCTGGTTCATTCAAAGATAAATATCATCTTCATTGCCACCTCAACCACAGTTAACAAAACTGAACTATATGGTACGATTATTGTGAAAATCTATACTACTATTTGAACAGGATCCATCTGTTTGTTTGTTTGTCTGTCCGCCACGCCGTGTAGTGGGTTCAATTTAGCCGGCCTACAGGGCAGACGGTATATCGTAGGGGGTTGAAATTTGCACACTTTCTAGGTGACAGAGCGGGTCAGCGCCTTTTCTAGGTTCCGACTCGCTGGGGTGCACGGTTCGCGCGTGGGGCGCGCCGGAAGAACGCCACTGAAATTTTGATCGGTTCGTAGATCTTCATTGAGAGCCGGGGTCGACAAACTTTGTGAGCTAAATGCATGCCGATCGGCGGCGGGTGCCTCGCATTGGCGGATGGGCAAGTTTTAATTTGAATAAATAGTGGCGAGAGAATGTGGTGATTTTCATTCAATGGGAACAGTTTATTATACAAGTATAAAAATGCACCGAGTTTGCCGCAATGCGCCACAATTATCTCAGGGGGTCATTTTTGCCGCAAATCGCATAGTTTTGTCAAATATGGTCCGATATGGGTGCAATTTGGTGCCAGGATGCATGCTCATCCGATAGGTACAGATGCGCCGCATTTGCCGCAATGCGCCACATTTGCCACAAAGCGCCATTTCCGACAAAACCGAGTAAGGGTAATAGAATGGCACGAATAGGGGCAGGGCTGGGAACACTAAGTCTGATATTTTAGTACTGATTGGATCCAATTATTCTGTGACCTGACATGACCCAGCGGTGTTGGTAGGGGTAGTGGTAGGGGTAGCGGTAGGGGTAGGGAAGTGGTAGGGGTAGTAGTAGGGGTAGGGGTAGTGGTAGGGGTAGTAGTAGGGGTAGTAGTAGGGGTAGGGGTAGTAGTAGAGGTAGTGGTAGGGGTAGGAGTATGGGTAGTAGTAGTGGTAGGGGTAGGGGTAGATGTAGTGGTAGTGGTAGGGGTAGGGGTAGTGGTAGTGGTAGGGGTAGTGGTAGGGGTACTATTTGAATACTATCTTACTATTTGAACAGGATCCGTCTGTTTGTCTGTCCGCACTTGGTCTCCCCAATATATTGCAGTTCGCACCGTCTGCAATATATCCAGGCGCATCATCCTGGATGGGTAGTGGGTTCAATTCCACTCGCCTACAGGGCAGACGGTATATCGTAGGGGGTTGAAATTTGCACACCTTATAGGTGATAGACCGGGTCAGCGCCTTTTCTAGGTTCCGACTCGCTGGGGTGCACGGTTTGCGCGTGGGGCGCGCTGGAAGAACGCCAATGAAATTTCGATCGGTTCGTAGATCTTCATTGAGAGCCGGGGTCGACAAACTTTGGGGACTAAATGCATGCCGATCGGCGGCGAGTACCTCGCATTGGCGGATGGGCAAGTTTTAATTTGAATAAATAGTGGCGAGAGATTGTGTAGATTTTCGTTGAATGGCAACAGTTTGTGATACGAGTTTACAAATGCACCGCGTTTGCCGCAATGCGCCACAATTATCTCAGGGCGTCATTTTCGCCGCAACTCGCACAGTTTTGTCAAATATAGTCCGATATGGGTGTAATTTGGTGTCAAGATGCATGCTCAAACAACAGGTACAGATGCGCCGCATTTGCCGCAATGCGCCACATTTGCCACAAAGCGCCATTTCCGACAAAATCGAGTAAGGGCAATGGAATGGCACGAATTATTCTGTGACCTGACATGACCCAGCGGTGTTGGTAGGAGTAGGGGTAGGGGTAGTGGTAGGGGTAGTGGTAGGGGTAGTGTAGTGGTAAGGGTAGTGGTAGGGGTAGTGGTAGGGGTAGTGGTAGGGGTAGTGGTAGGGGTAGTGGTAGGGGTAGTGGTATGGGTAGTAGTAGTGGTAGGGGTAGATGTAGTGGTAGGGGTAGGGGTAGTGGTAGGGGTAGTGGTAGGGGTAGTGGTAGGGGTAGTGGTAGGGGACAGGGGTAGGGGTAGGGGTAGTGGTAGGGTAGGGGTAGTGGTAGGGGTAGTGGTAGGGGTAGGGGTAGTGGTGGAGACAAAAGCAGAACAGTGGCCCGGGCTGATCCCAGCGGACGAGAGGTGACCTATGTGACCTGGCCTGACCCAAAGTGACCGGGGCTGACCCCTTTGACCCGTCTTGACCCCGTATCACCCAAATTTCATCCACCAGCGCCCTCAGAACAGTTCTTTTTTAAATTCTCTTCACATTTCCGTCCATATCTATGCTTCTAGACGACACATCGACATGAATCAAACACCATTCGAAAGCAAATTGGCTGGTGCCGCAATTTTTTCCTACCACGCAGCAAAGCAAGTGGCGCAGCCGCTTGTCTATATTACTATTTGAGGAGGGCGTAGTTTCTGTCTATTACGAAGGTCGCGACATGGTGCTACGTAGCGCGGGTTACAGGTCACACCGTTGCACCTACCGCGCTGAAATTTGCGCAAGTTATAGAACAAGGATGGACAACGTGCCTTTGAGCGGTCTCGGCTCGATCGGATCGATAGCGAGCGCGTGGCGCGTGCCCAAAAAGTGCAAATTCGCGTCATAGACTTTACATGTATAAATCGGCTGGCAAAAACGGGCGAAAATGGCTAAATTTGCCCGACACGGGTCCGTTCCCCGTGCAATATCTCGGTAGCCGTGCGCCCGATCGGCACGGGGAAAACAGCATCGTGTAGAGAATCGAACGGGCAATCGAATAGTGTGCGGTGCAGGGGTGGCACGCGCCACGTGCAAGTGTGAGGGCAATTTCATTTCAAAAAGTGCCATTTTAAACGGATTTTGGATTTTATTTTATTTTCCCGTGACCATCAGACTGAGAGAGTTAAAACAACGCCTACTGACAAGAGAAATGTACCGCCTCTCATGGAAAAATTGTGAAAAGCTAATTGATCAAAAACAAGGTGGAACAAATCGCTGGAGAAAATGCTATTTGTCAATAATGTGCCACAAAATAATTACACGGGTTTTTCTGCTTAACCTGATACGTTTGACAATTGAAAATGCTATCATTGGAAAGAGCATTCAATTATCTCCAAGATCCAATCATCACGTTTGCATGACAAGCAACAGTATTCTTAAAAATATAAATGTTTCAAACCTCTGCA